AGCGACGAATCAGACTTTGACTCACACCTCGCAGCGACTTAAATTGTCTAGGATTGAGTTTTACTATAACTCGATCCCTAATTCGATAGTCGACTGGTCGCCACTTTCGATCAGCAAACTTCTTCATTTTCTAGGTTGCTTTATCAAAATAAGATCGTGCAAGATCGACTTGTTCCTCCCAGGCTTTCGTCATGTGATAAGCACCCAGACTCTTCAAACCGACATCGATGGGCAATGATTATGGCGTATTAGACTGCTGCCCGGTAGCCAACTAAAATGGACTCCTTCCCGTCGCCTCACTCTGCTGCAAATTATATGAGAATTGGGCAGTGTCCAACAACTTTGCCCAATCCTTTTGATTGGCACTTATATAGTGCCGCAAATAGCACTCCAAAAGTGCGTTGATCCGCTATGTTTGCCCATCTATTTGAGGATGGAAGCTGGTCGAGAAGTGCAACTCCGAACCAAGCAAACTGAACAACTCTCTCCAAAACGCCCCAGTGAATCAAGGATCTCGATCACTAATAATGTGTTTGGGTATATCCCAATGCTTTATGACGTCTCGCAAAAATATACGGGTTGCCTTCTTGGTTTTGCTGCTGGTCGTCGTGGCTGTGAATGTTGCATATTTGGAGAAGTGATCAACCACAACCATAATAGTCCCGAATCCCTTTGAATTCAACAAGCATGTGATGAAATCCATGGTGATGTTGTCCCATGGATTTTCAGCAATAGGCAGCGGCTCAAGCAGTTCACCCGGCGCCTTCGTTTCAACTTTATCTTATTGACAAATGAGGCAAGTACGTACATAGACCCCAATGTCATCTCGCATCCGAGGCCAATAGTAAGAGGACTTTAGCAATGCCAATGCCCTTTTCTTCCCCGGGTGACCAACCCAAGTTGTATCGTGACCTTCATTGATCAAAGTACGCCGAAGATTAGCCCACTTCGGCACGTACACGCGTTTGCCTGTAGTGTACAACACACCATTCTCCTCCTAAAACTTCTTCGTCTTGCCTTGTTGGGCCAAAACGAGAAGTTGTTTTGCCACAGGGTCATGCTGCATACCTTCCTTAATATCATCAATAACACTGTTGTAAGTTGAACTAATAATCGCAGCCAAGACAGCCTTGCGACTAAGCGCGTCAGCTACAACATTAGCCTTCTCCGGCTTGTACTCAAACGTGAAATCAAATTCAACCAAGAAATCTTGCCAACGGGCATGCTTAGCAGTCAACTTATTTTGGGACTGAAAATAAGTTGTCTGTCTTAACAACAAAGTGAGCACCCAATACATAATGATGCCAAGTCCTTAGACAATGGACTACAACCGTCATCTCCCTCTCATGGACAAAATAACGTCGTTCCGCATCATTCAATTTTTTGCTCTCGAATGCTATCGGGTGACCCTTTTGCATAAGGATGCCACCAATAGCGAAATCAGACGCGTCGGTATGAATTTCGAAAGTCTTAGTGAAATCGAGCAGTGCCAAAATCGACTCATCGGTAATGGCTGCCTTAAGCTTTTCAAAGGCATCTTGACACAAATCAGTCCACTCCCACTCATGACTCTTTTTCAGCAAGTCGGTGAGTGGAGCGGTAATAGCCGAATAGCCAAATATGAAACACCGATAATAATTGGCGAGGCCAAGAAAGGATAGTGATTCGGGTACCTTTGTTAGAGCCTCCCAATATCGAATCGCCTCCACCTTATTGCTGTCCATCCTTATTTGACCATGGCTAATAGTGTGTCCAAGGAACTGGATAATAGGTTGTGTGAAGCTGCATTTTTTCAGCTTCTCGCATAAATCATTATTACGCAAGACTTTGAACACTTTTCACAACTGCTCAACATGTTGTTGCTATAAACGACAATGTCGTCCAAATAAATAACTACAAATTGATCCAAAAAGAGATGGAACAGCTTGTTCATCAACGTACAAAACGTCGCTGGAGAGTTTGTTTAGCCAAAAGGCATGACCAGCCACTCAAAAGCCCCATAACGAGTGACAAGTCGTTTTTGGTTCATCACCTTCGGTAATCCGGACTTGGTAATAACCCTTCCTTAAGTCCATCTTTGTGAACACTTTGACCTACCCCAAACGATCAAATAAATCAACGATCAAAGGAACAAAATATTTGTTCTTTGTCATGACCTTGTTGAGGTCCTGGTAATCAATACAAAAACGCATCGTCCCTTCCTTCTTCTTTTGAAAAAAAACAAGCGCACCAAATGACGCCTTAGAAGGCCTAATATGTCCTGCATCAAGCAGCTCCTTGAGTTGCTTATTAAGTTCCTCCAATTTAGGGGGTGCTATACGATAAGGCGTCATGGCTGGTGGCTTTACCCCGGGAACCAACTTAATTTGGTGATCAACTTCCCTTTGTGGTTGCAATCGTTGGGGAAGTTCTTCCGGCATCACATCCTTATTATAAAAAAGGACCTGCTCAATGCAAAGAGGCAAAACTACTGCCTTAATTGAGTCTTCGATGCCTCCAACAAAGGCAACAAGAAAGGTTCGTTCTCCTCTCTTAAAACCCTTAACAATCTGCATGGTGGACAAGTGCATCCTATTTTGTTGTACCCGAATAAGGGGTACCACGCAAGAACCTCTGGCATCGCTAATGTGAAGTTGGTTGAGGCGCGGCGAAATAAACGCGTTAATCTCATACCAAAAATCCAGCCTCAAAATAATATCAAATACGTCCATAGGAGCGATAGTGAAGTCCGTCAACCCCTTCCATCTTCCTAAATCAATGAAGACTTAGGAGTGAATCCATGGACAATAGTGGGGAGGGAGTTGATGGTTTTCAACACCGTATCGCTGGCAACATAATTCAAACAAAAGTCCTTGACCCTTTCCTTCGTTACAAAATTATATGTTGCACTGGTATCCACTATAATTCGAACGTCTTTGCCATTCAACTTGGCATTGACGAATAATGATTTGCGCGGCCTTACGCTAGCCGGCTGGGCAGCCAACACAACAAGCGTCATGTGATTAAATAATGCCATATGATTAAACATACCAGCAACAACGTTCTTTCCCTTGTTTGCCGCACCAGCTTGTCCATCTTGCTTCCCGGATGGTCCTCCGATTTGCATTGCAACCTCCTCTTGCTGCTTTTGAGCAACAACCATAGCGTTTAACTTACTCAACAACGGACAATAACGGGTAGCGTGACTAGTCTCACCACAAATATAACAGCCCTCACGATGTGGAACGCCTTTCTTACGATCCTCATAATTTTTGCAAAAATTAAAAGGCAGATTACAATTGTTACCTCTCACATCGCTGCCTTGATTGGGAACAGGCTTGCTTTTTTTCCGGTTGTTATCCACCTTCGGAGGAACATTTTTGCTCTGATTGTCCCTCCCCTTCGCTGCATCTGCTCGAAAATTAGTAAGCGATTCAGCCATTACGATCTCTTCATTAACGTCATTGACTTGTTGCCTTTTAAGTTCTTGTTTGGCCCAATTTTGGATGCCATCTAAAAAGTAAAATAACAAGTCCTCGTTGGTCAAGCTCGAAATTTGGAGAGTGAGTTTTTTGAACTCTTTCACATAGTCACGATTAGAGGATGTCTGCTTCAATTCCCTCAACTTTCGAAGAGCCTCATGTACTACATTTTGATGATAGAATTGTCGCTTTAGCTCCTCCTTGAACTGCCCCCAATCATCGATGGAGCAAACCCCTCTCTCAATGTCCGTTTTTTTCCTCCGCCACCACAACATGGCAGTGTCGCTCAAATACATAGTCATTGTTCGGATCTTGGCAGCCTCACTAGTCATGTTCACATGCTCGAAATAAGCATTCATTTGCCACAAGAAATTCTCAACGTCTTGGGCATTCCTCTCACCACGAAACTCATTTGATTTAGGAGCTTCAATACGTGTCTCACAAACTGTAACGGGACCAACAACTCCCGCACCAACACATAGGTGTATCCAGGATCTCAACAACATGGGGGCACCATTAACTTCAAAATAGATAATTAATTCAATTATATAAATTGTACGGTGAGAACAAGTTGACGAGCAAGTAGGTAGTAGCAATCTTTATATAGTAATATATTAGCAAAAGACATTATTCACTTACAATTGTCCTCGACGAGTTTTCATATTTTGGAAACGGTCAATAATGACATTATTACTTACATTTTTAAATATACTACGCTCTATATACCAACCTAAACAACCATTCAAAAGATCTTCATCCATTCTATTACGCAAATCATTCGTTATGTACTTCATGGATGAGAATGTTCTTTCCACGCTTGCGGTAACAACATGAATAATCAAAGTTAGCTTCACAAGTAAATACACAAGTGGCCAAGTTTGATCTAGTTTTGTCTCTATCATCACTCTTGCAAGATCCTTGATTCCCTTCAAGTTGAGAAACTTGCTATCACACTTTTGAGCATAGACAATAAAATCATCGAGTTGAAAATTGAGTAACCGAAGCCGTTTATCACCAAACTCACTTGGATAGTACTCGGCTAGTTTCATTATCCTATCCTTGTGAAAATTAGCAAATGAATCAATCGGACTCAAACTAGCCATACCGAGGAGTAAGTCACTAGTCACCACATCAAAACGATAATTGAGTTCTTGAAGTGCCAAATCAATAACAACATAAAATACTTCCACACGAAAGTGATGCAAATATGAAATATTGGACCTCTTACGCTTCGACTTCCCATTAGAGTAGTCTTCATTCATTTTGAGAATTGAAATACCATGTTTACCACAAAATAAGCTAACCTCATCCATCATAGAGTCCCATTCATCTTCTCTCATCATTTGCAATCGTTTCTTTGAAAGGTCAAGCAATCCCATAACATTAACTATATCTTGATCTTTTTTTTGTAAAACTTTATTCAACTCATTCGTCAATAGCAACACCTTAAACATCAAGTGCAACATAAAGACAAATTGAAATTCATGAATCTTGCTTAAAAGATTTTTCGCCGCAAATCTATCAAGATGATATGGACAATCACATTTCATATCCTAAAGCACATTAACAATTGAAGAAAAAAGAATTAGGAAATTGTCCAAGGTTTTAAATGAGACCCCTAACGAGTATCACCTGGTCGTTGGAGGCCACGTTTTTGATTCAAACCTTGCCCTGTTTGAACTTCTCCAAATTTAAGCAACTCCTCCAACTTATCTTCTTGATGTTGTCGAAGTGAATCTTTGCGTTTAAATGAAGCTCCAATAGTATTCAAAATATTAGTGAGAACATAGAAAAAATTATCCACATCCAAATTCTTTTTGGAAAGACCTACAAGTGCCAATTGCAATTGGTGAGCAAAACAATGAATAGAATATGTAGATGACGTATCTTGTAAAATCAAAGACTTGAGACTATTTATTTCCCCTTGCCTGTCATAACCTTGACCATGTATTTTGGATGTACATAATGAGTGATCCAAAAGCAAAGAATAAATTGTCTTTTTTAATGATTGGGAAGATGTATCATTTACGTAGACAATACCCAAGAATCGCTCGATCACCATTCCACTTTTGTTGACATATCTCAAAATTAGAGCCATTTGCTCCTTATGAGAAACATCCTTTGATTCATCAACTAATATTCCAAAATAATCACCGTCCAAGTCTTCAATGATAACCTTAGTTGTTTATTTAGCACAAGCCTCCACAATATCTTTTTGAATTGTCGGATAAATCATCATATTATTTTGTGGAGCATTACCTAATATTACTCTTCCCACATCAAAACTTCTATCCCCATACCATTTCAAAAGTTCAAGAAAAGCACCCTTATATTCGGAACCTTCACTTTCATCATGTCCACGAAATGGAAATCCCGATGTCAAGAGAAATCTTGCTACATCAATTGAGCCATTTAAACGCATCCGATAATCACTTCTTGCCTTTTCACTTTGCTTGTCAAAAGAAGATTGGATCGATTGCTGTTGGTTTATCAAATCTTGCATCCTATTGAAACATTTATGATGGATTCTATATACCTTACCAACATGTTTTTTGAATCTTTCTAAAGCTTTGTTCCAACACCTAAAACCATCTCTTGTGAATGAATCTCCGGTATTTTCACGACTTTCAAGTTCATTCTTGAACAAATAACAACACAAACAAAATGCCGCATCTGCTTTAATGTTATATTCCAACCATTGAGATCTTCTCTTACACCAAGTTGGTCGAAATTGACGCATTTTATCTCCAAACTTAGTTTTAGGGAAGATATGATCAACAGGTTGACATGACTTTTTTTGAATGTAATACCTCCTCATCGCATCTCGAATATTAGGACCATAAGATGAAATAGGCATTCGATCTTTGGGATCTGCTTCAAGAGATTTAAAATTAAGCATATTATCCGTATTTGAAAGTAGAAAAGAATTTGTATGTCTTTGAACTTCCGGAGCAACTTGTGAACTCACAAATGGTTGATTAGAGCTAGAACTTGGTTGACCATCTTTTGGCTTTGGTAACTTGATGAGTAACTTATCCATTTGTGATTTGATGATTTGAATGTAAGAATTATTTTACCTACAAAATTAAATATTCACACTTCTATTCAATCTTATCAAAACAAAATAATTTTTAAAAAATATTAGCACAAATAACAAGTTTACTAATAAAAGAATCACAATTATTAGATAACTGTTTAGAAATCAAGAAATTCTTATAAATTTAAATATTCAAACAATCAAATAATGGCACCACTTCATAAATCAAGAAAAACATATAAAACAAATGAAGTACATTAATAAATAAATTTTCTTTTTTAGATAGCATAGCTTGTTACTTGTTCTCAAATCTCACTTCTACTTCACCATGAACAACAAAGTGGAATGAAGCCAAAAGAAAGAAGAACAATATGATGTCTTTACTCTTTTTGACCTTTTAGTTTAGGGCTCTGAAAAGTAAAAAGAAAAAGTAAAAATAAATAAATAGGAAAAACGTCTAAAGAAGGAAAGGAGAAAAAGAAAGTAAAAAGTAAAATTTGACTTTATTGACACTTCTAGCTTATGGTCTAGACAGAGCTAATGCAGCCTAAAAATATGAGTATTTGAACCTCTTTTTATTTATAAATTATTAAAAAGATCTATGAAAAGTGGCACATTTAGTTATATTAATTAAAAATTAAAAATATTAATGTGGATAGAGAAATTTGAACCACAAATCTATAAGTTTTGCACCCCCTATTTGTACATACTTATCAATATACTAGAGTATTCTTTTTAACCTTGAGTTCACCAATACAAATTTAAAAAGATAATTAAAAAAATAGTAGTATTATATTGGGGTTAGGAAGGGGAGGATGGGTGCATGTGAACCCACTCCCCTTCATGTACATACACCTCTGCACCGACAGTCTCATCAACCTGCCTTTTCAAAGTCTCAAACTCTCTATGAAGAGAGAATAGAGCTTCGATGAGCTTGTTGGTCAGCCCTTCCTTGTTCACCTCCTTAAGCTCAACAAGGTTACTCTTCCCCTCATCAAGGCCCTCAAGAGCTACTATTCAAGAGAACTAAAGTTGTTCTCGAAAACCACAAGTCGCCTATTCAAGGTCGACAAATCAGCCTCAACTCCGGTAATCTTCTCATCGAGTTGGCTAGTGTCCGAAACTTCTCATTCTTCCCCAAGGCTTTTGCCACAAACAGGTGGGTTAGAAAAAGATTCCCTTACCTTACTTCTATCACGTTTCTTGGTAGTATCTTTCTGAACCTCCTGCTCCCTCTCTTAACTACCATCTTCGTTGCGTTGAGACTTCGACGTCATGCTCGAATCGATGCTCTGATACAACTTGTCACGGGCCTATTTTCTTAGGTCTCGTGGGACAAGAAATGAGGGCTTGCACAGCTTCTCGTAAGCTCAATTCTAACACAAATAAGCACAAAAGTGCAGCAACAATATAGTCTAAAACAGTTCACACACAAATAACTAACAAGAAGGCAAATAAGAGAGCAAGTTTGAGAGGTAAGTGCCAATTTCCTTTGTATTTCTCTAACTTTTTCCCTACACAAGCGAATCCTTTACAATAACTTATACAAGCTGTAAAAATAAGAACAAAAACGTAATGGGAAAATTCTCAAGAGAAAAGACTAAAAAGAGACTTTTTACAAAGTCAAAGAGTAGGTGGGAGAATGTGGAATGTGTCTATCACAATTTAGGCTTGTCCCCTCTGTTGGGGCCTATCTAGGCTGAAAGTCAAGGCCATTAAATGCTCATCAAGGGCCTTCAAGTTACCTCCCAAAGTTGGAATATATTTGGCACGCCGTTTGAGACCCGTTGAATCGCAATACGAATCTGCTCCGTTCCTAGAACCGCTGAAATTCAATGTAGCTCCTTTCGGGGCGGTACATGAAGGCTGCATATAAATACAATATGAATTGATCTTTTCACTCATTTTTAACACACAAAATTGAGAATTAATTCCAGCTCTCTCTCTCTCTTAAGGATTAAAACAACAAGCTTAAAGTTGTTCTAGGGTTCTTGAAGAAACCCTCATCTCTGCAAGACAAGGTAAGTGAAAACACTTACGAATTTAGCTTAATTCTCCAATGGATGATTAGGAAAACATGTTATTCATGCTGAAGTATAAGTACAAATGCAGAATATTTTCAGAAGCTACTACTCACTTCCTTGGTTATTAAGATACTTTTCTCTTCTTCTTTGGTTTAAGTGTGAAGGGAAGTTGAAGTTCTTGAAGATTCCAAGTTAAAAGGGAAAGTTGAATAAATTGAGGTAAGGTGACTGCTCCTTTTTTGTCCTCCTTATGCATGAGCTTGGATAAAATATTACATATGTGTTGTTTTTAAGAACTCAATGGGTGGTGAGTTCAGTATTTGGTTACTATGATAAAGAACATTCTGGTTGTTTTATGTGTATATGTGGGGACTGCACGATTGATGTTGGGGAACTGTGAATATTTTATATGGAAATATAGAAGGGTAGTGATACACCACCAAACTGAATATTGTGTAGGCTTACTACTCACTCCACATTGGTATGTGGATGTAATTCGAGGAGAAGTAATTGAACAAATCCCTTGATATTATAAATTATGAGCCCACTGCTGGGCTACCATTTTTGTGAAGTTAAGTAGCTAAATGTGTTGATTAGCTACTAATACTGGTTTAACTTATTTCATTGTAGATTAAATAATCTGAAAGGAAGTAGGTTAATTCCTTGTAATTTTTGAGTTATACAGTAAGATATGTAAGACTATTCGATTCAACATTCTTTGGCATGAAATTTGATACTTGCGATTAATATCAATGACGTGAATTTTCTAAGTTCTATTCCTAGTAAAGAAAACATAGTGGCAACATACGATCTCCAAAATAGCTAACAGTATTTCCCCTATCTCCTTAGTGTGTAGAATTGCTTCATTAAATGTTCATTACTCTACATTTGTTTAATTATCCTCCTATGTGCTAATATAGAAATGGCAATCGCAACAACAAGTTTGGTAAATTATCATCTTTGTCAATTGAAGTCAATTGTGTCATTTAAGCTCACAAGTAATGCATGATGTTACATTGCTCCTTATGTCATTGTTACTGCCTTGAAGTATTATTTTCATGTCTTCTACTACTGGTTCGTAGTTCCAAATATCAAGAATGACTATGACCACCAAAACAACAATCTTAAAGATTAAAGAATCAAAGTGAAACAATATGTATAACTGTGGGTGGCAGCCCAGGTGCAAATGCCTAGCATGAGTCGATCCCAATTGGTATAAAAGGGTGGCAGCTCAGGGGCGAAAGCCTAGCATGAGCCGATCCCAATTTGTGTAATTATGATGACATCATCCCAAGGGTTAAAATGCCTAGCATGGGTCATCCTCTACTACTATTGATCAGCTGGTCATTTGTATCACTTGCCTTATAAAGATCATAACACACAGAAAAGTAAAGAAATGAATGCAACATACATGATCCCACAAGAGTAACAAAAGTGGTCGTATTATGATATATGCACTTACATACAGATACTTGATGTCAGTTGAGCCTTGTTTAACATATGTTATTTCCCTACATATTCATTACATTTTTTCGTACTGACGTCCCTTATGGGGACACTGCATTTCATGCTGCAGGCACATGTACTCCAGTCAATAGGCCTCGTTAGTCGGACCACGAGTACTCAGCTGCTATTGGTGAAGCTCCTGGTTGATTCGGGGATTAGCGAGTCTTTGACACCTATTTTGTTGTTATATGATAGTTAAGGGTAAGACGGGGCTTTGTTCTGCACTAAACTAAGGTTTTCTATCTTTTAGAGGCTTTGTAAACTAATGTATATAGTTCAGTTGCATCTTGTCTCATAACAAGTTGTGTCCTTAACGGCCAAGTCTTGTATATAAGTTTTTGTTCTACATATGTTGGTTCGTACCGCTGCATCCTATGTGAACTTGTCACAACTTTAAGATTATCATAGTTATTAGATGCATAGCAAGCACATGTTTCATGTTGGTTGTCTCAAGCCTTTAGGGGATAGGGTGCCAGTCCATCTTGGTGGGAACTGAAGCGTGACAAAAGTGGTATCAGAGCAGGTCATTCTAGGGAGTCTACAAAATCGTGTCTGTGTAGAGTCTTGTTTATGGATGTGTTGTGCACCACATTTATAAATAAAAGGCTACGGGACATGTAGGAGTTGTTTCCTTTCTTTCACTTCTTAGATCGTGTGATAGAACCAATGTTGTAGATGAATCATATCTAACTTCAAAATTGTTTTATTATAGAAAAAATGCCAGTTACGAGAAAGAGTAATAATACTGGTAAGCGAGTAGTGTGGCTCCCCAAGAAGAGACCAGCCAACCACAACCTAGTCAAGCTTTTCAAAGTGCGGCTCAAGATGAGTCTCTATCACAGACTTCCTCGACCCCTCCATCTCTAAATAATCTAAAGAGGGAAGTTGTACCTCAAGAACCCCCTATTAATGCTATCGATCAAGATTTAAATAATGTAGTCTAATTATTGACTCGTATAGTTGCTAGCCACAACCAAAGGCAAGAAGGTCCAGTTGCAGGCACTAGTGGGGGTACATAGAGCAGTTGGCATGCTGATACGTCATTTTCTTAATTTGGACCCTTCAACATTCACCGGGACAGATCCTAATGAAGATCCACAAGACTTTATAAATCAAATCCAATACACTTTGGACGCAATGCATGTAAGTGGTAAAGAAACACTTGATCTAGCAACATATAAATTAAAGGGTGTGGCTATATTGTGGTATATAAAGATTGGAAGCAATCTAGGGGAACAAATGCACCCTCAGCTATATGGAAAAAGTTCAAAAAGGCATTCCTTGACCATTATCTGCCATTGGAGATCCGAGAGGCCCGTGCAGATCAGTTCCTGAATCTCCACCAAGGAGGTATGAGCGTAAGGGAGTACAATCTCAAATTTAATTCCTTGGCCAGGTATGCTCCTAATGTAATAGCTACTATGGAGGATAGAGTTCATCGATATGTGGATAAATTAGATTCATAGCTGGTTA